AGGTCTCGACAGGAGACCACACCAATCCAACCGAAGCGGGTGTCGGAACCGCAGAGGGATGCAGGCAAACACCAGCAAATCGGGCCAGATAAATATGAGGTTCACGACAGTGAGGGCTGGCAGAAGTGGAAGCGTCGAAGGAAGAAACCTGAGGAAGCTCCTGAGTCGCTTCGGCAAAACCCAAGCCGGAAGCGAACCCAGAGGAAATCAGCGGTCAGGCCGAAAGCACTGATCATTCGCCCTAAGGAGAAGGAGATGTACTCCGAAATCCTACAGCGAGTGAAGAAGGATAGCGCTTGTGGTGAAGCTAGCGATTGCGTCAAGATCAGACGCACGGCCGCAGGGGACATGCTGATAATCCTCAACAAGAAGGAGACCGATGGAGCTTCCCAGCTACGATCAGCCATTGCTGCTCGGCCAAGAGGCCGACGTGCTAAGCAAAGAGCCCCGGGAAGATATCGAAATCAAGGACATTGATGAAGATACATCCAAAGAGGACGTCCTTGAGGCCTTACAGAGAGCTGTAGGTGAGGAACACAAAATGGGTCCTGAGACCATCCAATCTATGCGCAAAGTATACGGTGGAACTCAAACTGCTTGTTTGACCCTCACGTCAGCTGCGGTGAAGAAGATCCTGGGAGAGGACGACCACGGGAAGATTAAGATCGGCTGGGTAAACTGCCGCATACGTAGAGTACAGAGGCCGGTCAAGTGTTTCAAGTGCTGGCACTACGGACATCTCGCCAGCAAGTGTAGGAGCGCAGTGGATCGGTCGAAGCACTGCGCAAGATGTGCAGGATCGGTGCGCCCTATGCGCTGAAGATGGGAAAACGGAGAATTGTGCCCATGTCGCTGGCAGCAGCAGATGCCCGGCTTACAGAGAGGCACTCCAGAAGCTTACTAACCAAAGGCGATAAACAATGGATCAGCTGCAAGGTGTTACAGCTCAACCTCAATCACTGTGAGGACGCACACGATCTGCTTATGCAGACGGTGCGTGAGCTGAAGGCTGACCTTGTCATGATTTCTGAGCCATATCGAGATCTTGGCACTCAATCCTGGGTCACAGACGCCAGCAGAAAGGCTGCGATCTGGGCTTGCGGGAACCGGCCTTTCCGAAACATCAGCAGTAACACGCAGAGTGGTTTTGCTATGGTGAACTTTGATGGAATCCATTACTACAGCTGCTATGCTCCACCTAGTCTTCGCATTGATGAGTTTACAGACTTCCTAGATAGGCTGACTGTGGATGCTGAGCAACACTTTCCCGTAGTGATAGCTGGAGACTTCAATGCCTGGGCAGTTGACTGGGGCAGTAAGGTAACAAACGCTAGAGGACAGGCTTTACTGGAAGCCATGTCATCTTTGGACGTAATATTACTGAACAGTGGAGAAGAACCAACCTTCATTCGGGAAAAGGCGAGCTCAATTGTGGATCTTACCTTCGTGAGTGGTGCTCTCGCCAAGAAAAATTACTCATGGAGAGTAACTGATATCTACACGGCGAGTGACCACCGGGCAATACTCTGGGAGATCTGCTCTGACCAGAAAGCCAGATCAACCGCAAAGAAGACCAACAGTGTTGGTTGGAGAGTGAGCACCTTTGATTTTGGCTCTTACTCGGCGGCATTAGATGACCGTCCGATTACTGGCACGAATGCAACAGCGAAGGCACGGGACATTATAGCGAAGGTGACTAAAGCCTGCAATGCCACTATGACGAGGAAGCGGACCACAAATCGACACCCCCGGTGTATTGGTGTAATGACACCATCGCGGTCCTCCGGAAGGAATGCAACGCAGCTAGGAAGTTGTCCCAACGAGGCCGGAAGAAACCAAACTTCGAGGAACTCGAAATGAGGTACAAAAAGGCACGTTGGAAACTGAGCAAGGCGATAAAGCACAGCAAGAAGCATTGCTGGAGTGAACTTCTTGCTGAAGTAGAAGGCGATCCCTGGGGAAGACCTTACAAGGTGGTGATGACACGACTGAAAAGTCAACCTATGCCAACACCATAGTGTCCTGTTTTCCTGAGAAAGATCGTTGAAACGCTGTTCCCTCAATAACCAGATTTTCACCGTCCCGCCCGACAACAGGAGGATGAGATCGTAGAGTAAATCACCAGGGAAGAGTTGATGGAGGCCTACATGCGAGTGGGTAACACCAAGGCCCCTGGCCCGGACGGTATCCCCAACATTGCACTGAAATCGGCAATCCAAGCGATGCCAGAGCAGTTTCTAGACGTCTATAACGAGTGCTTCAAAGAAGGCATATTTCCTGCCATGTGGAAGCAGCAGAGGCTGGTTTTGCTCCCAAAAGGGAACAAGCCGCCGGACGAACCTTCATCATACCGTCCTCTCTGCATGCTCGACACAGCCGGTAAGATCCTCGAGCGTATAATCCATCAGAGAATAGAAGCAGCTGTTGAGCCATTGCTAGCCGAAAATCAATATGGTTTCCGGAAAGGTCGATCCACATTGGATGCCATCAACCTTGTTGTTGATACCGCCAGGAGAGCGATTTCAGGGGAAAGATGGCTCAATGGCACTAAGGAGTACTGCCTAGTAGTAACACTGGACATCAAGAATGCCTTCAACTCAGCCCGTTGGGACTACATCATGGAGGCTCTTGCCAAATTGGACGTGGGGTGATGATCGATGCACGACTGAAGTTCAAGCAGCAAGCAGAGCATGTGGGGGCCAAGGCATCTGGCGTTAGATCCACCTTATCACGCCTCATGCCTAACATCGGGGGAGCCAAGCAAAGAAGATGGGCACTGTTGTCTTCAGTGATTACTTCGGTGCTCACATATGGTATTCCCATTTGGGGAGAGGCATTCCAGTTGCAGGAAGCGCGACGTAAGATCGCACCAGTCTACCGACTGAGTGCCCTTAGAGTTGCAAGTGCATTTCGGACAGTTTCTGAGGACGCGGTGTGTGTCATTACAGGAATGCTGTCNTTAGAGAGAGGTATTCCAGTTGCAGGAAGCGCGAGGTAAGATCGCACCAGTCTACCGACTGAGTGCCCTTAGAGTTGCAAGTGCATTTCGGACAGTTTCTGAGGACGCGGTGTGTGTCATTACAGGAATGCTGTCGATAGAAATATTGGCTGAGGAGCGGCAGGTCTTGTACAAACGTAGGAGATCCGAAGCGCTGAGTCCTGAGGAGCTGACGCTGGAAGAGAGGCGAAACAGCCTGCGGAAATGGCAGCTGAAGTGGGACAACTCGATCAAAGGGAGATGGACCTATCGTCTGATCCCCAAGGTGAATGTCTGGCTAAATCGAAACCCCGGAGAGGTGAACTACTACCTAACGCAGATGCTTACGGGGCACGGGTGCTTTAGAGCGTATCTTCATAAATTTAAATATGAAGNCAGAAATACTGGCTGAGGAGCGGAAGGTCTTGTACAAACGTAGGGGATCCGAAGCGCTGAGTCCCGATGAGCTGACGCTGGAAGAGAAGCGGAACAGCCTGCGGAAATGGCAGCTGAAGTGGGACAACTCCACCAAAGGGAGATGGACCTATCGTCTGATCCCCAAGGTGAATGTCTGGCTAAATCGAAACCACGGAGAGGTGAACTACTACCTAACGCAGATGCTTACGGGGCACGGGTGCTTTAGAGCGTATCTTCATAAATTTAAATATGAAGATTCCTCGAAATGCTTAACCTGCACGGACGTGGATGGAGATGCGGAGCACGTGTTCTTCGTATGCCCTCGTTTCAGCGAGACAAGGCGTACCTGGGTGTCTACACTTGGAAGGGACGTATTGCCTGAAAATCTGATGGATGCTTTACTATCATCGCAGGCAGCCTGGGACGCNACACGGAGAGTTGAACTACTACTTAACGCAGATGCTTACGGGGCACGGGTGCTTTAGAGCGTATCTTCATAAATTTAAATATGAAGATTCCTCGAAATGCCCGACCTGCACGGACGTGGATGAAGATGCGGAGCACGTGTTCTTCGTATGCCCTCGTTTCAGCGAGACAAGGNACTCCACCAAAGGGAGATGGACCTATCGTCTGATCCCCAAGGTGAATGTCTGGCTAAATCGAAAACACGGAGAGTTGAACTACTACTTAACGCAGATGCTTACGGGGCACGGGTGCTTTAGAGCGTATCTTCATAAATTTAAATATGAAGATTCCTCGAAATGCCCGACCTGCACGGACATGGATGAAGATGCGGAGCACGTGTTCTTCGTATGCCCTCGTTTCAGCGAGACAAGGCGTATCTGGGTGTCTACACTTCGAAGGGAAGTATTGCCTGAAAATCTGATAGATGCTTTACTATCATCGCAGGCAGCCTGGGACGCGACGAGCCATTTTGCAGCTGAAGTCATGAAAGAGCTCAGAAAAGAGGAACGTGAGCGCAGAGCCGCAACTTAGACGGAGAACCTACTGGAACCTTCTACCTACACCCAAGAACTTAGTAGGCCAGGAGGACGTACATTAGGCCGGAAAGAGGAAGTGCCAATAGCTGTGACCTCCCTCGCGAAGTAATACTTAACGGTAGTGCCGCGAGGGATTCAAAGGTTAGTGAATTTGTCAGATGGGAGTTTAGTGGGTATTGACAGTCACTGTCCGAGCCCCACACTCACCTGACGGGAGGAAGCTCCTATTCCCTCCCTCAGGTGGTCGTGCGTAAATGCGTTCTCCAACAGACGGAAAAAAAACACGTACGCACGCACCCCCGCGCATACGCATGCAAGCACACACACATAGTAGAAAGATTCAAAGAGTCATGAAATGTGGAGATGTCATTAAATTTTCACTTTTATTTTTCGGGGTCATTACAATAACTTCCTGGCCGCAGGTCGGGAAGTTGAAAAATAAATTGGATGTTTTCAACGATTGATTAAAAACCCAACAGAGTATGCATGTATAAATTGACGGATGTGACGTTGTTGCCGAGATTTTGAAAAACACATGCCAGAATTGTTTTCTGGCTGAACATGAATATGAACTAATAAACTTGATTGATTGTGATGAGTCTTACCTATAGTAGATTTTTTATGAGTAACAAGAAGTGTTTCAGCACCCATTCTAGCTGCAGCAGCACATGCTTCCGTCCCAGCATGCCCACCACCAACAACAATTACATCAAACGTTCGAAATGCCCTGGATCCAATTGTTCTGCTCCGAATGACTTTACGTAGCATCATTATCATTTAGTAACAGCTGCTCTCGACCGTTAAATTCGGAAACCAAAGCTTCTCTCTAAATTAACAGATAACCATATCATAAAAATGTAACATTCACTACAACAGAGATGAAATTTGTTTCTGAGTCGTAAAATAAGACCTAGTTACATCCTGCTTACCCTAGGATATTAATGTCACGTGACTATATTTGCTCTCCAGAACCTGGTTACCATACATGAATTTAACCTCTTTGAGCCACCATATTTATTTGCGTAGGTGCTTATGTAGGTGTATGGGACTCCCCATCCGGCGTTTTCCTTCAAAAAACAAATTGAATTTTCATATATAGGTATTCATATAAATTCAACATGTGGTGAAGCATATTAAGCCTTATCAGCACTTGGCGTTACCCAGGGTTCGCGACGGTGACGCAGCTGGTATGAATCCCACAAAAGATCAAAATAGTCTACTAGGAATGAGCTAAATTTCCAGGAATAGAAGGCTCCTTCTAAGAATGAAGGTCCCCATTACCTTCTGCACCTCCTGATATTTGAAATAACACAACTGTTCAGGGGATAATCAGGGTCTATTTATGTAAACAGACCCTGATTTATATAAATAGACCCTGATTACCCCCTGAACAGTTGTGTTATTTCCAATATGAGAAGGTACAGGAGGTAATGAGGACCTTCATTCTTAGAAGGACAGTTTTATTCCTGCAAATTCAGCTCCCTCCTATCCGAGTCGAATATTAGGACCTGAATTCCCCCTTGAACACCTATCATGAGTAGGAGGACCAGGATGAAGTTAGGGTGTATTTACATGCAGAGAGACCTCCTGGTTTCCGCTTGAACGTGCGAGTTATTTCCAAATTCCGAGGGTTCAGGAGGAAAACAGGAGGTGTGTTAAACCAATTTATCGCCTGCACTCCCTAAAATGTTTTCCACTCCATCCCTCCTGGAAAGAACCTACAAACCCTTTCGAGGAATTTTTTATTATTTTTAATTATTAACATGAGAAGTACGGGTGAAAATTGAGGTCATACTCAAGGGTCATATATAAGGGTAAAAAATAACGATCAGAAACGACAGTCAAAAATAAGGGTGGGAATTTCAGTAATTTTCACCGCAAACAGAAATGAACAAAATGGTGAGCTACTCAATCATCCTGGCTATTAGGGTTAATTCAGGGGATTTATGATTCCTTTTCATTCGACAGGAAGAGAAAGGGGAAAAAAGTATCAGTTGAGAAGGGTTTTTACGCCTTTAGGATGAGGCAGGATCATATAAGGAGTTATTCAGGATGTATAGGATGAAGAAAGGAGAAAAAAATATCTCAAGGAGGTAATAGGGGGGAATAAGGTCCAGATATACGACTCCAGGAGGTAATAGGGGAGAATAAGGTCCAGATATTCAACTCGAGGAGGTAATAGGGGGGGATTGGGTCCAGATATTCGACTCGGGTAGTGGATTATTTTGCTCTGTTGTGGGATTCATACCAACTGCGTCCTCATCGCGAACCCTGGGTAATGCCAAGTGCTGGTGAAGCTTGATATGCTTTACCATATGTTGAATTTATATGAATACCCATATATGAAAATTTAATTTGCTTTTTAGAGGAAAGTGCCGAATGGGGAGTCCCGTACACCCACATGAGCACCTATACAAATAAATATCGTGGCTCAAAATGGTTAAATTCATTTATAGTGATCAGGTTCCGGAGAACAAATATAGTCACGTGACATTAACCTCCTAGGGTGAGCAGGAGCTCACTAGGCCTTATTTTACGACTCGGGTTGAAAATAGATAAGTACCAACAAATGTGTTTGCCTATAATGGGGTATTCGGATGAAATTCAATTTTTGTTCAATTATCGAATTCATAAAATTCGTTAATTGAGACAGATATAGGCAAACAGTAAAGAATGTAATGAAATACAATCTGAACATTGTACCGAGATTTTCTCGAGGAGACATCTCGAGGAGGCTGAAGAAGCCGAGCCCAGATGGAAAGATCCACAGACCAATGAAAGACTGAAGGAATAGCGGTTTTGGATGAAACCGCGAATCCTGGAAGTCTGGAGGACATTCTAGACTTTCGCAATTTTAGAACTCGCCCAGCTGTGTTTAGGGGAAAGTGGCCTGACGTACGGGGTTCCAACTGGGCGACTCTAAAAGCAGTGCCGGGGTAGACTAGAGCCCAACGTAGTCAGGTGAAAGGACTGGTCCTCCGGGATCCCGTGGGGTTGATTGGTGGGGATAGGATAATGGAATGATCTATCGTCGCTGAGATACTAAAATTAGGAGGTAAGGCCCTAGTCAGATTCCGAGAGTTGAACGCAGACGCTCGAGCGGAGAGGTCAAAGAAAATTCTTCAGAGCAATTTGTGGTGTTGGTCTGAATACGGTCACGGACAGGCGCGTAGTCCAGCGTTGGACGGTGCATAACTGCCGGTAGCGGACGTAGGGGGATGCATCTGCATCCCCCACAAGTGATAAAAGAATTATTTCGGTACTCGAGGTGACGACCTCGTAGTGACCGGCGTTATTCGAACCCGGCTAGAACGATTTGGAAGCGGATGGGACCGTGGGCCTGAAGTAGAGTAGTCCTCCTGTCGGCCCGACCATACGCCGACATTTTTAGTAATCGGGAATGGTGATGACTCGCGATGACCGAAGCGATAACTGGTGGTCGAGAGTATGGGTAGTAGGCAGGCCTACGAAAGAAAGGGAATGAATTTTATGGTTTCGATTCCTCTAACGATAGATAAAAAGAATCAGCAGCCCATGTGAATTTTTACAGATTTTTAAAAACATTTTTAAGCTGTGCTCCACGAAGTTTTATTTCTTATGCAATTTTACACGTCTCGCAGTGTCCAAATGTAATAATGATTTTTTGTAACTCACTAACTCAACTTCTTAACATCAACGTCCGTAAACTTACTAGCAGACAGACAAAGAATATACAGAATGTTTTTTTTCATCAAATCATATTTTTTTGGCGAGATAAAAATTCAATTTTCCGCAGGATTTGAGTTTTCATAGATGCGTACGACGCTTACGGACTGTGCATTTTTCTTCTCGATTCGATTATATAATTGTTGAATTATCGTACTATCATGCAAAGAAGAACGAAAATTTTTAAGCGAATTCAATGCCGAGAAAAATACAAAAGAAAATTCATCAATTTTCGTGCAGGCGCAGGTGCTAGACTTATCCGGTGCTTTTACAGCGGTCATAAATACAGAAACTGAACCCTAGCAAACAATTTCGGCCTGCTAAGTTGACCATTTCTAGGGAGGGATTTACCTCTCATTACGCTTGACACTTTTCAACGTATGTTTTTATTTCTAACAAAAATATCATAATTATTTACATTTTCATTGCAGAATTTATGTTATATGTTTATGCCATATATGTTATATGTATAACAAGAAGTGATCTCACAACTTTTGAAGCCTCAATATAATCTTCACAATTTTCCCATTTCGTAGGGTCGACATTCAGGAAATCATGTTTGAGGTTCAAAATCTCAAAGAAGGTAACGGTATTTTGAGTCACGAATTGTTTCAAACTCGCCTCTCCGATAAATTTGAGGTCTTTCATTCCTGATTTTCTCTTTTTTCGATCATTTTTGAGTGCAGGACACTGGATCTTATAGCTTCGCACATCTTTTTCTTACACTCTACACTCAAATTTTCATTGAAAAAAGAGAAAGCGATCAATTCTTCTGATAAGTACCAGAGATGGTTCCCAAACTTCTCAAATACCGCATTGTAGACTCGTGACAACGTAAAACTATGATCAGTTACTAATTTTTTCAATAGTTCTAAATCGTTTTTGGGAGCTTGTGAACCAACTCTTCTGATACAGGAGGACGATAAAAATACAAATTCTCTTCAAACCTGATATTTCCTGAGATGTCATATGAAATTGATCTCTTAATAGGAATATTTTCAACGAGTAAATTGTCTTCGCCATCCATCTAGCATGATGAATGGGACCTAGCGCTCGGAATCGATTACCATTTGGAAGATTTCCATCCAAGAACATCACCGCCAGTTCCAGAAACTCTTTGTAGTCCTTCCTGATGTTGTCAATCTGTTAAGAGATGATTCAATTTCAAGTTCAATTCAATTCTTCGATCGATTGAAAAAATTATTTCGTTGGATTGAGCATTGTAAATTTTTCTTCATAACGTACCTTCAATCGTGAGTAAGCGAATGCCAGGGCGTTTTCTGCATCATTCCTGACTGTTGCTTTTACATCATCATCTTGGACTCCTGGTGAAAATTCTCCTTTCTCAATATTTTTCCACTGCTCTTGGAATCTTTTGAAAATGAGAATATCCGGTCTAGTATTTGGCCCCATAGATGCTTCAAAAGCAGATTTCAGCAGTAGTTCCAATAGATGATGTCGACAAGCAAGATGCAATAGATTCCTCCCCAATAACTGCTCCAGTAGGACACATGTACCATTCGTACTGCCCGTGTTGCTAGCAGTGGTATCAAATATCATGGCGCATATATCATCGAGATATGCTCAATCTTTCAGGCATTTGAAAATGACATTTGCCTGCTCTTCACCACTTCCTCGTTCTAGTTTTGCAACTTCAAGTAATTGATCCCCTTCAATGCCCGATATAAGAACAAGGAGTCGATCCATTTTTTCGCATTTGTTCTCTATCGATGGTAATTGTTTGCCATCCCAATGAACAGTGGTGAAACTGGAACATCCATTCTTAACCCGATTTTTAATGGCATTACTCAGAGTCTTCCGGTGAATCCCCCTACTTCGACGGATAGTTTCTCGGCTCAGATGAACGTCATCTAGAGAGATCTCGGCTGTTATGAGGGCGGCTGCTATGATACGTGCTGCCATATGATCGCTGACTTTTGCTCGATCCAAAGCGGCGGTGAGGTTCGGAGACAGACGAAAAACTTTCTTCGCCTTGCTGGGCTGCAAATCGAATTCATAGTCGCAATCGCTTTCGTGACTGTGCAATTGTTTCAGAAGTCCATCCAGATCTTCTTCTTCGTCCCACTGGTAATTACTATAATTTGCAAGAATCTTATTCGGCTCGACTGCAAAATGGGAAAAATTAATGAAAATTGATGAGAGACAATCATGGGAATAAGGCAAAAGAGTATTGATAGGGAAAGAGTCAGAACTTGTCAATATTTTCTCATCAGTCAATACAAGCATTCATTGAGGAGAAATACACTAATTATGTCCATTAAAAAATTGTGATGTTTGATAATCGCGGAAGTTACTAAAATAAGTTCTGCGAAAATTTTTCATTTTCAATTCTCTCAAATAAATATGTAGATCATTATCTGGGAGCAAATTTCGATCCCTTTTTTTCAATAATTCCGAATTCAACCGTCAAATATCTTTGAATTTTCAGTGATCGCAAGAAGGGGATAGTCTACAGAATTAAAAATAAGGAAAATACGTGAAAAAAAGGGATTAATTCTCGTACCTTTTTCCTGTGTCTTTAACATCTCTCCTTCACATGGAGGAGCCCAGGAGGCTGTATCAAGAATTTTGTCCAAGTAACCTCTTTTTCCTCGATTGTGGAGATCCAATAGAATTCTTGCCTGTTCATTTTTGATCAGGGCTACTTGTGTCTTATGAGCAATATCGAATAAATCATCCAACTTGCAACTGAATTCCGACTCCTTGTCATATACTATTTGACAAGTCTCTCTACGCGTGGGGCCATTTTGAACACCTTTCTGTAGTCCGTCACTAATTGCTTCAACTTATTAATCGCATCACACTCCTTGATCATTGGCACTTCTGCATATTCCCAAAATATGGCACACTTGCGAATAACGCACTTCGCAGCTTCTTGAATAGTCAATTTTGGCGTAGCGTGTCTCGTATAATAAAAGAAACACTCTACAACTTGTCTCTTTGAAGGTAACCGGTTCCCCTGAATTTCTGCAGTTCCATGACCAATCAATGTGATTTTCGTATCCTGTCGTGTTGTTGGCATTTTTACGTTTTTTCGTTTGCTCTGTGGATTGACAATTTTATTCACACACGATTACAAACACTGAAGATTTGTACCTTGAGCTGGTCATAGAAACAGAAGTCTGAAGAATCCTTCGATGCTGTCTCTCAGAGAGTGTCGTTCTGACTGATCACTAGTACAGTTGTGAAAATGGTTGGAAAATATTCAATTGTCAAAAGGACAAAGTAGTGGGAGGCGATCGAGGGACGAAGATTGAGAGAATACCGCCTTCAAGATCATAAATTTTGTCCCATTCATTAAGGTTCCCCGAAGGATAGTCATTTGTGCATCCCCTTCAGTGAAATGGGATTATAATTTAAAATTTTCGCCTCAGAAAATGTTGGCATAGTATGGGGAATTTTCCATTAACTCAGAAATATTCAAATAGTAATTATTTTCGAAAATTAACCTGGACTCGGAAAACCCTTTGTTGTGAACTTTCGTATTCATTTGGAAATTTAGAAGCTGAAAAATATTCAGAATTATATATAGATGAAGTGTGACCTACATCCAATGTATGCTTTTTGTTTATTAGTAAAAAGCCTTTCGAGGCGCTCACTTTTCATCATACTATCTCGGAAACTATTGGGACGTTATTGAAATAGGCAACGCAGACAATTTGGATGATTCCATAATGAAGACAATAATTTTTCATTTATGCCTCTGCGCCTCATAGTTATTGACTTATTCACATTTATTCTGGATCACTCTGCGTGGCATGCCCAACTACGAACATCATTGTCTAGCACAAGGATTTGTATAGTGCGGCTGCGATCTCTTCGCTATGAGAGCAACAGAGACGGTCCTATGCAAGTCACTGGGCGTTCTACCTGGACAGCAGACTCGGAGGGCCGTCCGCAGCCATTTTCACTACCTGACATAGGATCATCATAGGGACCATTAACTTCTGCCTGAGGTTTATGAACGTTGATTGCCAGTAGGTCAACTTTTCTCGTCAAACTTTGAACTCGTTGCGCATACATGAAAACTGATTTGAAAAATCCGAAAAAATTCATATGGACTGGTGATTTTTTTAGCCGCCTTTTTCAGGAATCGGAACCCTAAATATCATTCTTCTTCTCCCGTAGGCCTGCCTAATGGGTAGTCTTCATGTGGGTAACAGTGTTCCACTTTGGTCGGATCGGCCTCTCGACGTCTCATGCTCTGAGGAGTTCCGGTTGACTCGCAAATAACTGAAACTCTCCCGAGTACAAGTACTCGTGAGGAGAAAGGATGCTGGATGAGTCGAAATATCCTCCAGAACAGACGTGAATTCAACTCACTCGGATAGCCATGTCGTAAGGTATGATGCACGACTCAAAAAAAGCTCGTGAGGATGTGATGGAAATACTCCTGGTGGACCTCGCCCACTCTACCGTTTCACGTTAATGTTAGCTATGCATTCATTGTCCAGCCACAAAAGGTCTCTGGGTAGACGAGATTGCTTCAGAGGCCGGTTTTAGTCAAACCTTCTGTAAAGGTTTGGCTGGCGCCGAATCAAAGAGCGATAGGGAATAAGAAGGTTAAAAAGTAGTTTGGACTTTTCCTGGGTGAACAACCCGGGGAAATATCTTAACAACATTTAGGAAATGATAATTTATGATTGATAATTTATTCATTAAGCGGTTAGTGTACAGTCTCACGGCGTAGAGTTCTAGAAAATGAATATTCGCTTAGGCAAAAAAAAGTAACAAACTAAAACAATTCTACGTCAAATCCGAAGTGCAAAAATGTCATGTTTCCGATTGTCTTGCTGATTTTTTTCTTAGAAGTTAATCATACACTTTTTCTCAGTAGTTGAAGTAGTAGATGCGATCAAGCTCTCATAAAATTTTAAGAGCACTGCGATTTTTGTTGGAATAGATGACAACTGCTCCCGGTCTTTCTCTCATGGTTATATATATATATGATATTCCATATTAAACTTATTCTGTTATACTTGCGCTTGCGCAAGCTGTTGACCTGGCACCGTTGTTCTCACGTGCGTTAGCACTAACGTTCTGACTGTTATACAGAGAGGTGTTTGAAGACGCGTAATTATTGAATAAACTTTCTTTTAGATAAACCAGTGTTTCAGTTAATTTACATAACCAATACTCAAACAGGTTATGGGCCCAGAACACGCTTAGGCGCTTAGTCTGATGAAAATAGTAAATTAGTGAAGAGAAGAGTGAAAAAAAAAACTAGTGAAAAACAGAGAAAGTGCAAGGACGAACGTAGTAACTGAGGGGTGCACACGAACAGATAAGATGGGCGATGAGATGAGTAAGTAAAGAAATTGAGCTGTAATTCAACTGGATTCCGGAAAGCTGAAGGAAAATCGCGTTGCCATGGAGAGCTCGGCGTGAGAAGCGAGGACGCCATGAGATGCAGAAAGGTGGATAGGCATGCTTGCCCAAATCAGCCGGGAATTCTAAACTTTGTTAAAGTAAAAATAGTAAAAAAAAGATGGCGGAGCGTTGAAAAATGTGAAAAATTGATATAAATAAAATTATAGAATTGTGGGATGCTTAAATGAAATAATTAACTATTCCTACAGTGAAGGGAATGATGTCAGAGAAACAGTGGCGAGCGGTGAACGAGTGGTGCTCAAATAAATAAGAGAAAGATGAACCTCCCATCATTCTCAAACTTTATCAGGAGCAACTGAGTTCAGTCACTATTACAGGAGATAAGTCGGCCAAGGTGGACGAGAAAGACGAGAAAGGTAGTGAAAAGGGAGATGAGTTGGCCAAAGTGGGCGCGAAAGAAGAGAAAGGTGGTGCGAAGAGAGATGGCCAAGGTGTGGCGCAAGAGTGACATATGCTGAAGTTCATCAGTCAGTTAAGGCCAAACCTCTGATAAAGAATCTGTAAAAACTAATATACAATTTAAAACCACGCCTACACATCCTGAATCCTATCCATCCAAAGAGACCATTTCCGATAATGTATGAACTGGATTTATTGTTGAAAAACCAATAAACCTGATGTGTGAAAAGCTGGAAACGATCTCCAAGCTACTACAGACAATAGTCAACGTTCAAAAGAACATAGGTGACTACATGATTGATCATTTGAGAGAGATGAGAAAAGAAATGGCTAAGGATAGACAAAGAAATGCAGCACAATTGGACTACATTACCAAAATGGTAGAACGATTGCTGAGGGCTATCAATGAACTGGAGGAGGTTGAAGATGAGTTGAGAGATAAGTTTGACTTAAATGGCAGATTGCGATGGGACAGAGGAGGATGATAAGTGACTTGGAAAAAAAATTGCGAGAATAGTTAAAACACAGTTTGAGAATTTAAAACGAGTCGAGATAAAACAAAATAGCGAAAGTTCAAACACTAGCACTGCAAAAAAAAATTAAAGCTGTAAAATAAGAGTGTGACGGATTTTCGGAGAACTCCGCCACCTGTACGTAAGTTCACCGGAGGGAAAATCAACGGATTTTGAGCGAATAATTCTGTAAAGAGTGTGTAGTTAGTGAGTCAGGTTTAATAATAAGAGAGTCGCGATTTATCTTCCCAAAATTAGCACCTCTACCGTAGGGAGATGCAATACCCTTATTTCTAGCTCTAGCTCTTGGCCTACGTTTTTCATGGACATTACGACATCAGCTCCGCGGAAACATCAAAGTTCAATTCAAATGAAAATACGGAAGAAACAATTAAGAGTGTCGATCCACGTTAAAAGCGTATAAAATTAGAAACATTTGACTGTGAGTAAAAATAATTTAGTTATTTATTTAAATTTCCAGTGAACATTCAGTTATTATCGGATTTAGGGGAAACTAAGGTTACGGTTACGGTTTAGAGTAAATTTACAGTCATTCGTATTTACTGTTCTATTTATTTAATTTTTATTCACGCGAATTCTGAGTGGGACGAGTATCTACTGTGGTT